GAAAACAGAAAAAGAAGAAAAGAAAGCCAGGGCTGGCATGTAGCACAGAGGCAAAGCACTTGCCTGCTATATAGGAAGCTGGGCTCAATCATCAGCAACCCCTCCCACACACACAGAATGCAATATAGCAAGAATATATAATAATTATAAATAGCTATGTACCTAATAATAGATATATGAAGTAAATCCCAAGAGAATTAATGGGATAGACAGGTATATAATATTAGCTGACGATTTCAATATCCCAGTCTGTAAGATAGAAAAACCACACAGAAAGTAAGCAAGGAAGCAGAGAATTTCACATAATAAACTAACTGGAACTAACAAAACACTACCCAAGAACAAGACACTCACTATGAAACAGTATAGTGAGCACTATGAAATGGCAATTTTTTCTATTCAAAAAAATTAAAAACAGAATTGTAGTAATCCCACTTCTGAGTATATTTCCAATAGAAATGAAAGCAGGGTGTTAGTCTTGATATACAATCATGTTCATGCAGCACTGTTTACAATAACTAAAACTCTAGTGTCTATCAATGGATAAATGTATAAAGAAAATGTGGTACACACAACAGAATTTTTTTTTGTGTACAGGACTACATTTTGAATTCAGGGTTTTGCACTTACAAAGTAAGTGCCCTACTGCTTGAGTCACACCTCCAAGTCCATTTTGCTATGGTTACTTTGGAGATGGGGTCTTGTGAAATATTTGACAGGGCTGTCCAAGAACCTAGGTCCTCTTGCTCTCAGCCTCCCAAGTAGCTAGGATTACAGGTGTGAGCCACCAAACGACAGAATTTTATTCAGCATCAAAAAGGAAGGAAATTCTAACTCATGCTACTATATGGATGAACTTAGAGAACATTATGCTAAGTGAAATAAGCCAGATACAAAAAGACAAATATTGTATGATTCCACTTATGGAAGGTTCTTAGTATCAAAATCATACAAAGTAGAATGGTGATTGCCAGGAGCTACAGGAAGAAAGAATAGATAGCTATTATTTTAATGTGTATAGAGTTTCAATTTTATAATATGAAGTTATGAAAATGGATGGTAGTAATAGCTGTACAACACTATTAATATATTTAATATCACTGAACCTAACAGTTAACTTAACCTAACTGATTCTAAAAACAGTTAAGATGATAAATTTTGTTATGTCTTTTACCACAATAAAAAAATGGAGACAAATATTGGAGCCAGGTGTAGTAGTACATGCAGAGGCTGAGGCAGGGGGAATCAAAAGTTCAAGGCCAGCCTGTATACATGAAATCGGGTCCCTGATCTTTAAAAAAACAAATTGGGAACTGAGGGAATGGTTCAAATGGTACAGTGCTTGCCTAATATACATGAAGCTCTAGGTTCACAAACAAAAACAAAACACTATGAATCTCTAAAACTGGGGACAAAGAGGCCAGAGCTAGAATATGAAGACTAGTAGAAAGTCTTCAAAATCAGTCAGAAGAGAAAAACTTCAAAGGAAGATATCTGGTACTAGTCAATTTTAGTTATCCACTTCATTTTAGAGGGGCTTTACAAAAAAAAAAAAAAAAAGCTCAGAGAAAATTAAAAGATAGGACATGTTTTGAAGGCTAATTTTATGTTTGTTTCTTTATGAGACTGCCCTGACTGAACTCAACTCTCTACCTCCTGCCTCAACCTCCCCCACCATACCCAGCCTAAAAAAATCTGAATTATATAAACCACTAAATCTACCTATGTAAATTCCTTAGCACTTCCCAGCGTAGATGCTTGTGTGTACCATCTGTAGTGGTCCTTGAAGTTCTTAATGGCGGAATCTAGATCCAGTTCTTTTTATCTTTCCAAGCTCCTAGCACAATATTTTATATGTAAGCATTTAATACATTTTTGAATTGATGAAAAAAATACTTCAGTATTTAAAAAAAAAATTCTAGTTGAACAGCTCATACCCCGTGAAAAGTCAGAAACTTTTTCCTTAGAAAAGATAAAAATCTTTTTGGGGGGAGGGGTATACAAGGATAGTTGAGTCCTGGCAAAACACTAGAAGCCAGGACATGGTTCTCTAGGCAGAAGACCAGCCAGATGAAATCTACCACCACAGCTAGGAAGTGCCACCCAGGAGCAAAGAGCTTCCCAGTTTTCTAGTTCTCCATGTTCAACACAGGGCATACAATAAGGATTACCAGACATCTGGGGAAAACTTCCAGCATGAAATACAGTGACCAAAACAAGTAGGGAGGAGGAAAAAACAAACAATTTAGAGGAAGCAAACCACTAAGGAGAAAATACCTTATAAAAACTCATTAACATCCTGACACATGAAGAGATGCTGCAACCATGAAATGAAGATATAACTTCACAAACAAGTCAATTCCTTAGAAAGTACAGCTAAAAAGAGAGAAAAAAACTGTAAGTAAAGGAGAAAAAAAGAAATTTAGAAAACAAGTTTAATAGCTAAATAAGGTTTCCAAAAAAGAAGGGAGGGAAAAAAAAGAGAGAAAGAGAAACACCAAAGGATTCATTTAAGAAATTTTGGACAGATGTTTTCATATTGGTCCAGAAAAATTAGATGAAAACAGACTGCCTTCTAGAGGAAAATATAGGTCAAAGTCAGAATGGCTTCAGACATAATAGTACCACTACAGATAGTATACAACAAAACAAGGGCTCTAAAATTCTGAAGGAAAAATTATTTCAGAATTAGAATGCTACAACCAAACTGCCATTCCAGCAGCAAGCCAAATAAAATAATTTCCAAACTTCTCAGAAGGTCTTAATTCCTTTATTCATGCACTACCTTTTAGGAAGCTCCTAGAGGATGTGCTCCAATAAAGGAACAAGAAGAAAAATCAAGAAAGAGAAAGTTAAATGACAGTGATAATTGAAACCCAACATGACAGACCTAAAAAGGGAATTTCAGAGATGAAAGTAAAGGGAAATCCAGGATTGGCAGGAAACCAGGGACATAAACTAGGTCAGAAACTTTTCAATGTTAGAAAAAGAAATTATAAAATATCCAATGTGTTTAAATACATTTAGACAATTTAGACAAAGAATTTTAAGTTGAATTAGTAATAAACACATAAAAATTCAGCAAATGAAAAGCAAGAACAAAACAATTCCTAGTCACAGGGAGATCATAAAATAATTGAGAAAAAGTTACCACACAGCTTAGGAACAGATAGAATGAACAGTCACAAAATACTAATTTAGTTTAAATTAAGCTAAATTAAGTACAGAACATAGAAAGAATGCATATGGGATGAGGGTAGGTAGAAGGCAGAGAGAACTAAATTCTCATATTACTTAGAAGAAACTAACGCACAATGCCTAAAATTAAAAAAATTAAGAAATTTGTTTAACAGTATTTTACATACAGATAGAAGAAAAATATAAAAATTAGCAGACTAAAATTTTGCCTCTGAGAAAGGGAAATGGGAATTGCTTCAATTTCCTAACAAACCCCACAGAACTATTTAACTTAGGACCCTAAATGCTGAGTTTTATAAGAAAGAGAAGTCACTTTTGTCTTGGCATGATCAGGGAAGGTTGAACATGTGGTTTTAAATATGAAGTTAGGTCTTCAAATACGGGTAGGTTTCAAAAGGCAAAGCAATACGAAGGCAAAGCTGTTGGTGCTTTTCTTGTCTCTCCAACCCAGAAATCTGTGACAGAGTTGGGAAATCCAATTTAGTGTGCAGCCAGCTTACAGAGGGCCAAAGCACTGTGAAAGTCATGTTGGCTGGCTTAGTTCAGTGTACAATCCAAAAATGTCTCCATTCAAATAGGCCTTCAGAAGATCCAGAGTTTCTGGGTTTTCAGCAAAGTGCCCAGGGAACCTGCCCAATTCAACCCTCCCCAGATTCCTCCCTCCCAAGACCACCTCAAGCCATCTCATGCTTCATACATCAGCTTTAAAAAAGCAATCGAAAACACCTCCTTAGAGAAGCGTTCTTCTTTAACACCTCTCTCTACCTATTTCTATTATCTGTGTTTCCTTCACGGTATATATACCAAGTTTTAATTATTTAATTATTTATTTGCTTGTTTTTTGATCCACCTTACCCAGCACCCTATAAGAAAGTTCTATAAACACAGGTAACTTGTCGGTCATTTTACTTTTTTTCTGAGGATGGAAAACAAAACAAACAAACAAACAAACAAAAATGCGCTTAAACAGTTATGAAGTGAATCTAAGAGCGGTCACCCCAAGTCTGAAACTTTTAGGGATAGGAAACTTAACAAATAATAATGTTAACTAACCTCAATTTTTCGTTTTGTGAACTGAAATCTGTCTTCTTCTAGGTTCAACTATAATCACCCAAATCTGTGCTAAAATCTTGAACTTTGTCAGGGCTGGATTTTACCCTTTTGGGGGGGCGGGGGCCGGTGAACCTCGCTGATAGCTTTTTAAAACACTCATAAATCTTTTCCTTCCTCAAGAAAACAGCCCACCTTCACACGGCAATAGACATTTGAAGAATGTCATCCCAAGACCACCACAGACCCCAAATTAGCAAACTCTAATCTGGACAGCTAAGTCCCGAATTCAATCCAACTTTGTGCAATACAATTTTTTAAGAACTAAGAGCTTCAAAACTAAATCTACAGGAAGACTACAGAGCAACTCGGGGGAGGGGGAAGAGCAGCGTTACGCCAGATGCTTTCTCATTACCTAACTGTAGGAGGGAGCACCAGTACATTTTCAACTCTTAAAAAAACCCGGGAGAACTCTGCCGAAATCGAAGCCCCGGAAAGGTGCGAAGGTCATCCAGGCTTACCCGCTCCTTAGCGGACAAGGCGGCGGCTCTCCCTCAACCCCATACTCGCCCCACTAACAACTCTCGCTAGTTTCAGGCACTGCGCGTTCTGGGGACCAGGGACCAGGGCTCTGCGAACGGCTGGACAGCGGGAAGGCCAGGGACGGGGACACGCACCCCGCAGGGACCAAGGGTACACCCTCGGGTCCCGACGCCTGCCGTCCCTCGGGGCGGCTGCCTCGCATCGCTCACCTGTCTGGGGCCCAGAGGCGAGTGGTGCGGTCCCGAGACACCGACACAAAAGCTCCGGGCGGATAGATGCAGCACACCAGGCCCCTCACGTCCAGCTCGTGGCCCGGGAGCGAGCAGCTCAGCCGGTACCTGGCAGCGCCGCTCGCCATGGCCAGCGTCGGTCTGACGCCCCGGCCCCGGCCCCCGGACCCCGCACGAGGTCAGCGCACAGGGCAGACACGGCGTGCGCCCGGCGACGGCGGGACACCGGCCTGCAGGTGAGTGGCAGCGAAAGACCGGAAGATCCCGACAGCCGGTGCGGAAGAGCGGCCGGGAAGGGGTGCACCTAGCGAGCCGAGTGACACAGCAACCCTGCTCTGCACACCGGAATTCATCATCGGCCTCAGCCCGCCATGACGCAGAGTGTGTGCGTCCCGACGGTGGAGACAACGGGGCTGGGGTCCAGCGCTCCGGACCGCTGGCGGAGGGAGAGAAAACTACACAGAGGCCTTTTGCCCAGGCGCTAGAGCCCAGGTCCTTTTCTAATTCGCTCCCTTTCTGCGCGCCGCGCACTGCCTGTAGTCATTTGTGGCGCGAACCAAAACTACTAATCCACAATGCCGCGCTCCCCGGTGCGTGATCGTCGGCGCGCTGAATCCGGGTATTTTAAATTTGCGTCTTCCGCGCTACGTGACCCAGTGGTTGAGTGGAATTAATTCCTTTTCCTTTCCTGGGGTTTGCTTATCTGGTTTTTTTCAAACCTCGGCCGTCTCCGGAGGTTTTCAGAATCTAAAATTAATGAAAAAAAAAAAGAGAGTCTGAAAACTTTAATCACTTCTCAAGTTACCTCCTTGCTCATCACTTTCAATTAGCAAGTAAATACGGCGATCCGTGTCCATCGATTCAAAGCGTGACTAGGTTCGCCGGACGGCGGGTTGAGTGTGTAGATTAGGAGTGAGGCTGAAAATGCTTGACACAGGATCTCGATATGTAGCCCTGGCTGGCCTCAAACTCGCGATCCTCCTGCCTCAGCCTCCTGAGTGCTGGATTACGGGCATTCAACACCATACCTAGATAAATTTTTCACATAATCCCTGTTACAGTGATAGTAACATAACCTAAACAGAACGTATTCATTCCGGGTATCTGGTACATGTGTCTAAAGTAAAAGTGCGGGAAATTAAGTGTTTTCACCGGGAAAACAAATGGTTTCTTCCAACTGTTCTTCATACAAATGACAAATTCTGGATCCCCCCACACACACCATGCCAGAAAGCTTGTAGGAGAAATTGCCACAATGCCAGTACTTTCAAAGACTGGAACATATCCAGTGTGGGAGAATTGGACATCCAGATCAGGCATTAAAGTTTCTGTCAACCATGCTAGGTGTGTAACTAAGTGGGAAATTGAAGGAAAAAAATGATAGAAATTTTACATTTGCAGTTCTTACAAGGTTGAGGCAAAAATAGTTCCCTGAAAAGGAAGAATGTTGAAAAAAACAGTCACTGGAATAATAAGGGGAAACCCCAGCACAAAATGTGATATAACTAATCTTTAAGAAGCTTAGTAACTTAAATCATACTGGTCCTTGCCAGCCAATATGTAGATTAAAACAAAAGCTAATAACATTTCAACTTCCTTGTAAAAGCTACAGTTTTAAAATAATAGTTGTTCTCAAGCTTTTGGTGTCACAAAAGAGCACAGAAAAGATGTTTTCCTAGTGGCTGGATATATTTCGTAAGCTTTTTTTTGTTGTTAAACATTTTTTTCTTCTGTTAACATTTAAGAACACTTTATCTTTTTCATTTCATATGCTGTAGCAACATTGTCTACATAATTGCATAATTCATACAATGATGGCATGAAAAGTTGATCATAATTTCCTATTTGTTCATACCTTAATGCTTATTTTTAAATGCAGATAGTAACATTTTTTACTTTTAAAATTCAGAAGACTAAAAGATGTACAATGTAATTTAACACTAGCCCAGTTGCTTCGGAGATTTAACATTGGGTTCCCTGTTTTTTTTCTCCTTCAAACCCCATATGGATTGAACTCAGAATTTCGTGCTGTTAGGCAAGTCCTCTACCACTTAAGCACATCGCCAACATCTATTGATTTTCTTTTTATACTTCCAAACATAGTTCCACAAATCCAAGAAATCTGTTTTAGCCTTCACTTGCTTAAACCGTATAATTGAGTGTTTCCTCTACATTTACAGGGAAAGGGACTTTCCTTTTACCCTTTTCATTCGGTATCTGGGCGTCTAACATTAAATTGCAAGAGACAATTATACAGGAAGAGAAGGTCAAATATAGGTCCACAAGATTGAAGAGCCAGAAAGAAGTAGTTTGGTTACTCAAGCTTAGTAAGGGAAGGGTTGTGCATTGTGAAAAAAGTTCCTGTGGCAAAAGTAGAATTTACTTTAAGAAAGATAAATGGATTTTCAAGAGGAACAGATAAAGCCTGTGATAATGTTCAATTATACAGATTTGAGTGTCCTTTTTTGTTGTTGTTGTTTTTTGTTAAGACACAGTACGGGTGTTTGAACTCGGCATCCTGCTGCTAGGCAGATGCACTGCCACTTGAGTCACTACCCAGCCCCTTGAGTGTTTTTAGTTTCTTTCAGGTAACAAATCAGAGAACTTACAGTAGCCTCATTTCCTGTACTGGCTGCTTTTAGATTTAAAAAAAAAAAAAACAAAACTCCAAGAGCCTTCCCCATCTTGCATCTGGTGAATCTAAAATGTCTTTCAACCTTAAATGATATTCATGCTAACTCTGAGGTTCTAAGTTATCCTCACAATAACCAAACATAAAAAGGAGCGTCTTTTTATTTTTTGTCTTTTTTTGGAGACATTAGGAATTCAACCCAGAACCTCGTGCATGCTGAGTTATACCCCCAAACCCAGGAATGTCTTGTGAAGTTATGACTCGGTATATTTTAATCCATGTCATTAGGGGTTTTTTTTTCCTAATCTGTTGCTATAATGAATACTTTCTCAAATGAGCTAGTTGTGCTGGTTTTCCACTCCTACAATCCCAGTACTAGGGAAGGCAGAGGCCAGCATCCTGAAGTTTCCAGGCCCAGCTGGCAAACAAAACAGTTAGTGAGATCCCATCTATTGCTGGAGGTCATATGTAGGAGGATCACTGGTTGAGGCCAGTCCAAGCTAAAAACAAGACTCCTACCCGGGAAAATAACTAAAAAAAAAAAAGTGGGGCATGGCTCTGCTGTAGTGGACCTGCTTAGCAAGCAATGAGGCCCCAGGTTTCAAACTCCAAGTACCACCAAAAACTGTTTTCATGAGTTGTAATCTTAAAGCCCATTCTGGGCTGAATTATACAAAATAACTATCAGGCTGGATAATCAATAACAATAAGTAATAGTGTGGTGGGTGCTCATCTGAAATCCTGCTGAGGCAAGAGTATCATGAAGTTCAAGGCCAGCCTGGACTACATAAGGAGACCCTGTTCAAACAAATTAAAAAAAAATAAACATCAGAAATTAATTGCTCACATTTTGGGAAGTGCAAGATCAAGGCATCAGAAGATTTGGTAACTGAAACTTAGTATCAACTTCGCCCCCCAACACCGTCCCTCTACTCTCTATAACCTATGCTAACCACCATTTTGCTCTCCACTTCTATGAGAATCAAGCTTTTGGTAGAATGTCACATGTGAGTGAGATGGCATAGTATTATTATCCTCTATGCCCAATTTATTTTCACTAATGATCTCCAGTTCCATCCATGTTTCACAATGACAAAGATTTCATTAATTTTTCAAAAGCTGAATAGTATTCTCTGTTATATGTAACCCAATTTTCTGTATCTATCTTTAGATGACGGACACACCAAAACAGCTGTTTTAAAAGTTCTCTTTGAAGACTTCCTCCCCAATTATGTTTATTTGGGTAGATTTCTGGCACATTCTTTAGGCTAAAAGTGAAGTCACGGTTTTCCTGAAGCCTCTTGATATTTTTTAATGTGCAACATCATCAGGGACATTGAAGAATTAGATATTCAAATTCCAGCCTTCGTAAATCTGGCTTGTTTTTGTGCCTGTCTGTCTGGACTACTTATTTTCCTTGAGTTCCTGTACTGGTAGTTATCTCTGCTATTTCGCCACTGATGGCACCACTAAGCCAAGTTTGCTAAAATGTTGCTACTGGTACTTGTCATTGTTTTCAGCCTTAGAGGGCAACAAAATACATGATTTGTTCAACCTGAACATTGGAAGTAACTCAAGGGTAGTTTGTCCTCACCAATCTTCTCCCTAGGAGCTGGGGTAGACCCAGAACAACTGACCTTGAATCACGGTCTGGGAATAAGGAGACTATAGGAATTTCTGTCTGACTCTGGTAGAATCACCATAGAGGAACCAACTCAGAGGTCCTAATGGCCCAACCAAGTGCTTGCAAGTTGTGGTCACACCTCCCTGAGCCACAGCCTGCTAAGACCAGCAATAAAAACTGGGATGGGGGATCAAGGCCCAACTACTACGCTGCTCACCTGCTGACGGTAGAATTTGTGACGCAAAGCACTAAGACGTGTATCAGTCACAGGTTATACTATCTGGAACAAGAAGTCCTATAAGACTGTAGTTTATATATCTCCCTGGGACTAAGGGCTATCAGAGGCTTCAGCTGTAGGCAGACATGGGAATGCCAACTGTTAGCATCTTCCCATTTGGTTAGTTTCACCAGCTTGCCACTGTGGTTCCATGGCAAAGTCCTGTACTTACTGCCCTGTCCCATCCCTAAGTAAATGGAGTCTTGATGGCATGCTAGTACTGCCTGAGGTTGGGTAAGTGTTGGTGAAAGAGTCCCTTGGCCATCAAAGGCTGTGCAACGACCCGGTCCATGCCCTAAGTTTCACAGCTGCCCATGGCATCGACATAGTCTCAGTGTTGCACCTAGTCTCATTGCCACAGCTAATAGAGGCCATACCAAGCTATACCTTTAGAGTCGTCCCCAATTGGTACACATTGCCCTGATTCTCAGGCCAGTCCTAGAGGATCCATCTGTACACTGTTCTGGAAGTCTCCGATTCTAACCTTAATTCTGTCTCACTGCGCTGGCCAGGCACTGACCTCGCCAAGACAAATCTTGGGTGTTAGCCTTTGTGCTTTGCTCCCCAGTGGGGTGATTCATGATCCTGGTTGTCACATGAAATTGGGAAAAGGGTGTTGGAAGCAATCAGCTCCCTGGACTACTGCTATTTTTAGTGGCTGCAGCGCAAATTGGCCTGGGATTAGTAGTCTTGGGGGCTTTTCCCTGGCACTGGGTTTTTTTCTGGCCATGGTTGGCGCAGATACCTGGTTTTTCAAGTGTAGAAGGCCTGGACTTAGTTTTCTTTCCCTCCCTGACGAGGGAGGAATCTCTTTTCCATGCTACGATGCTTGGAGTTTTGGAGGGCATGAAATGTGGCAATTCTTTCCTCCCTGGTTGTTTTCAGTGGGGCCTTTTCTTGCTATTATAACTAAACTATGGATTTTCTCACCTGGCTTCCTTAGCCCTGTGAAGGTTTCTTGGTGC